TCTCCCTGCTCTCCAAAGTCCCCCAGGAACAACCACAACCCCAAGCTCCCCAGGGTCTCCAGTGTCCCCCAGTGGGGTCTCCAGGGTCTCCAAAAAGGCACTGTGACCCCAAAGGTCCCCTGGGGAGACACCACATCCCCATCATTCCCACTGGAAACCACAGTCCCTCCCAGCTCTCCAAAGTCCCTAGAAATAACCACAACCCCAAGCTCCCCCTAAGGCACCATGTCCCCAGGGTCCCTAAGTGAAGTCCCCAGGGTCTCCAGGGTCCTCCAGTGGGGTCCCCAGGGTCTCCAAAAAGGCACTGTGACCCCAAAGGTCCCCTGGGGAGACACCACATCCCCAGCATTCCCACTGGACACCACAGTCCCCCACCCAGCTCTCCAAAGTCCCCCAGAAGCCACCACATCCCCAAGCTCCCCAGGATCCCCCCAGTGGGGTCCCCAGGGTCCTCAAAAAGGCACTGTGACCCCAAAGGTCCCCTGGGGAGACACCACATCCCCAACATTCCCAGAGGGACACCACGCTCCCTCCCAGCTCTCCAAAGTCCCCCAGGAACAACCACATCCCCAAGCTCCCCAGGGTCTCCAGTGCCCCCCAGTGGAGTCTCCAGGGTTTTCAAAAAGGCACTGTGACCCCAAAGGTCCCCTGGGGAGACACCACATCCCCAACTGGACACCAAAGTCCCCCACCCAGCTCTCCAAAGTCCCCCAGATCCCCAAGCCACCACATCCCCAAACTCCCCAGGGTCTCCAAAAAGGCACTGTGACCCCCATCCCCAAAAGGGGGACACCAAGCACAGAAATCCCAGGTTGGAGAACTCACCTCATCTGGTGTATCCTTGGCATCTGGCTGCCCGGCAGCAGCACGGCGTGCCAGGCTGCCTGCACGGATGTTGCTGAGGTTGATCTGACGTTCAGGGGGGGGTCCTCCACGAGGCTGCCCCCGGACGATGATGGCACAGCCCGAAAGCACCTGCAGGGACAGCAGCCTTAAGCGTGGAACAATCTGCAAACACCTCCAGCGACACCCCCTCCTTATTATCCCCCCCCTCAGCCCTCCCTCCCTTTCCCCATCCAGCTCTGCTGCACGTGGGGCGATGCCCACACAATGGGATTGGGGAGTGGGGCTCCATTCTTACACTTCGAGCCCCCTCCCCTCCCACTGCAAACACCCCCAGAAGTACAGAATGGATGCGCAGCACAGCATAAAGTTGGAGCAGACCCCCCCCAAACCCCAGGGGGGGACCCCAGACCCACACAGAGCCCTCGGGGTTGCAGAGCTTTCCATGGGGTCCCACTCTCCCCTCCTCACCCCCCACCCTACAGCGGGGTCCCATTGCCCCACGCACCCAGTGGGACACAATGCACGCAGCCCAGGGCACTGCAGAACTCAGTGCTTAAGGATTCCTCCCTGTAATTAACCTCAGCCTTTAATTTATAATGCAGCGGGGAAGGTTGTTGGAACCAATTAGCAATAGGAACTCATTAGCAGAGCCTTCCGGTGGCACAAAGGGACCCAAGGGAACAGGAACGACCCCAAAGGAACAGGGGGTGGAGAGGAGGGCCACCACACATCCCCATGGCCATGGAGGACCCGTGGCATGGGGCCACCATCACCCCTGTGCCCATTCAGGTGGCCATTCCCATCCCCGAGTGTTGTAGGGCCACCAAGAGTCCCCACTTACAAAGCCATAGGGCCACCATACATCCCTGCAGCCATGCAGGCATCAGCCCCGTGCCACGGGGCCACCACGTGTCCCCATGACCCCGTGCCATGGGGCCACCACCCCCATGCCATTCCTATGTGGGGCTGCCATGTCCGTGTCCCCACGCCATGGGGCCACCACCACTGTGCCATGGGGCCACCATGTGTCCCTCTGCCATAGGGCCACTGTGCCATAGGGCAACCACGCATCTCCATGCCATGAGGCCACCACGCATCTCCACGCCATGGGGCCACCACCATCGTGCCATGGGGCCACCACATGTGTGTCATAAGTCAACCATGCAACCCCATGCCATGACGCCATCATGTATCCCAGTGTCATGGGGCCACCACCATCATGCTATGGGGCCACCATGTGCCCCCTTGTCACAGTGCCACCACCAACGTGCTATGGGGCCACCACAAGTCCCCCATCCCATGGGGCCACTACGTATCCCAGTGTCATGGGGCCACCACCATCATGCTATGGGGCCACCACACATCCCCATGTATCCCAATGTCCTGAGGCCACCACCATCATGCTATGGGGTAACCACGTGTCCCCATGCCATGGGCCACCACGCATCCCAGTGTCCTGAGGCCACCACCATCGTGCTATGGGGCCACCACACATCCCAGTGCCATGGGGCCACCACCATCACGCTATGGGGCCACCACGTGTCCCCATGCCATGGGATCACCACACATCCCAGTGTCCTGAGGCCACCACTATCATGCTATGGGGCCACCACATGTCCCCATGCCATGGGGCCACCATATATTCCAGTGTCATGGGGCCACCACCATCACGCTATGGGGCCACCACACATCCCCATGTCATGGGGTCACCACCTGTCCCAGTGTCCTGAGGCAACCACCATCGTGCTATGGGACCACCACACACCCCCATGCCATGGGGCCACCACACATCCCAGTGTCCTGAGGCCACCACTATCATGCTATGGGGTCACCACATGTCCCCATGCCATGGGGTCACCACGTATCCCAGTGTCATGGGGCCACCACCATCACGCTATGGGGCCATGCCATGGGGTCACCACACATCCCAGTGTCCTGAGGCCACCACCATCGTGCTATGGGACCACCACACACCCCCATGTCATGGGGTCACCACATATCCCAGTGTCCTGAGGCCACCACCATCGTGCTATGGGGCCACCACACATCCCCATGTCATGGGGTCACCACATATCCCAGTGTCCTGAGGCCACCACCATTGTGCTATGGGGCCACCACACACCCCCATGCCATGGGGCCACCACACATCCCAGTGTCCTGAGGCCACCACTATCATGCTATGGGGTCACCACATGTCCCCATGCCATGGGGTCACCACGTATCCCAGTGCCATGGGGCCACCACCATCATGCTATGGGGCCACCATACATCCCCATGCCATGGGGTCACAACGTATCCCAATGTCATGGGGCCACCACCATCGTGCTATAGGGCCACCATGTGTCCCCATGTCACGGGATCACCACGTGTCCCCATGCCATGGGGTCACCATGCACCCCAGTGCCATGGGGCCACCACCATCACGCTGTGGGGCCACCACGTGCCCCAGCGCCCCGGGACCACCAGCACCACGTCACCCCACAACCACGCAACCCCACGCCACGACCCCGCCACGTGTCCCCACGCGTTGAGGTGGGCACGGAGCCGCCCGGTTGCTGTAAACCCGGAACGTTGCCCTTCCCGGTGCTCAACCTGCCATTCCCGGTTCGCAGTCCTTACCATCTTAACGATACCGCGTTGTACAGCGAGGGGCGGCACGGAGCCGCCCTGCCCGGGGTTCGCCACCGAAGCCATAACGCGCACGGGGCCGAGCGGGGCCAGAGCGCGGAAGGGACAGCGGGGCGGGGCGGGGCGGAGGGCGGGGAAGGGGGCGTGGTCAGCGCCGACGTCCCGCCCCTCCGCCTCGCCGTCGGCCAATAGTAGTGCGGATCCGCCGCTCGCCCCGCCCCTACTGGCTGCGCTGTGTGACGTCACTAGCAGCCCCGCCCCTTTATCCGAAGCTCCGCCTACTGGGGGAGGGCGGGACTTCCGGGGCACGCGGCGCCAGGGACACGTCGGCAAAGCGGCGCGCGGCTCCCACGTGGCCAAGAGCCGCGCGCGGAGGGGCGGGGCCAATATAAGACACGCCCCTCTTTTTTTCCTTCTGACGTCATCACTCCGCGCCAGACGCGTGGTGGAGGCGACAGGGCAGGGGGAGGGGAAAATGGACGCCCTCTATAAGGGGAGGGGGGGGGGGGTTCCCACATTGTGCCCCCATTATAGGGGCTGAGGAAGGGATCCCCCTTTCTGTTCTCCATGGGGGCTGGTGAAGAGGTCCAACACCCCCCCAACACACCAATATAGGGGCTTGAGGAA